TTTATTTATCAATGACTGTTAATTCGATTTCCATTCTTCTGCCGTTTCTTTGTTTTGCGTTTCAGATTTTTTATCATTTTTTCTTGTTCTTTTAAAGACTCTGAAAGTACATAGAGATGTCGACTCAATTTTTCATGTTCTAAAACTCTTGGAGTAATATATTGCGTTTGGTTACGATACCAACACATGATATCGAATTTTTCGCGAACCTCTTTTAATTGTTCATATTGTTCATAAGCTGTTGCTAATTTCTTTTTTCTTCTCGCTTTGAGTTCCTCTTTCTTTAATTTCTCAAGCTTTTTCAGTCTATCGTCCATATGGCGTTCGTCCTGTTGTTTGTAATCTGCATATACGCCAGAATATCGCTGAAGACTTTCTCTTCCCGGCGACTCAATCTTTTTTCAGGTTCATACCAAGACGGATATTTTGGCCTTAGGTCATATACAAATTCCAACTTAAAATCCTTGTCACGTTTAGGATATTTGTTTACTATTTTATCTGTGTCATCAACGTATACCTTGTTTATAACATTTTGTCGGTTTAAAGCCGGCAGTGAAACGATAGTACTTTCACCACTGCCTCTTGTCGGATGGCGGGGAGAAGTTCCATCGTCAACTAAAGTTGCCATGAAGGCTAGATGTTTATGAGGCTTGGATTCTTCAGTTTTCAGAATACTTTTGGATTTTGTAGGTTTAGGAGATTTCGAACTACGTTTTGGTTTCTTTTCCGACTTTTTTGCCTGGCTTCTTGGAGTATGCTCACTTAATGACGATTTACCGCCTGTCGTCTCACTATCGGTATATCTATCACTGTCAGAATTTTTTTCACAAGCTGATGGAGTTACATTTTTAATCTTTATTGATCCTCGTGAAGGACTCTTTAAGCTGTCCCCGTTTGCTTTTTGATTTTCGGAAAATGTCGGTTGCTTGGAGTCATTTTTAATGTCTTCATCATTTGAAACTGATTCTTTTTCTTTTTCTAACTTCTTGACATTTGCAAAACTTTCAGAACGTGACGTGTCGTTCTCGTTTTCGTCGTCATATTCTTCAGATTTCACAATTTCTTCTTTTTTATCATTCTGGTTTGAAAGTGTTGTATTATTTCCATCTAATGACTCTTCCTTTGAATATTTATTTCGCTCTGTCTCTTGTTTTGAATGAACCGTGGCATTATTTCTTTCATCTTTAATTTCATTTTCAAAGTTGTTTGGGTGTCTTTTCCACTGGTGTCTTCAGTTTCTGAATCAATCACCCGTGGTGTTTGTTTGTGAAGTTCTTGAACGAGACCCGTTTGTTGGTGAAGTTCTTGAACGAGAAGTGTCATTCCCGTTTGTTGGTGAAGTTCTTGAATGAGAAGTGTCAATCCCGTTTGTTTGTGAAGTTCTTGAACGAGAAGTGTCATTCCCGTTTGTTGGTGAAGTTCTTGAACGAGAATTCACGTTTCATTCCCGTTTATTGGTGAAGTTCTTGAACGAGAAGTGTCATTTCCGTTTGTTCGTGAAGTTCTTGAACGAGAAGTGTCATTCCCGTTTGTCTGTTCATCTGTTTTTAAATACTTTCGATACTGTCTCCCTCGTCTATTTCTTCCCTAGGAGTATCAAATATATCTCGGTCATCCATCTCAGACTCTTGATTTGTATCTCGTCCTGTATTTCTGTTAGATGGCGGTAATGGTGATGTTGATTCCGCCATTAGATACTTGACTTATTCTCATGCTACTGTTATCTGTAAAAAGATATGCATGACATTAAAAATGGTGAAGATATAAAGGTGCAGTTATATAACTCTACTTCTGCCCCCTATAAATTGTTTCAGTGACAGAGACAGTGACAATATCTGGAGGTGACAAAACCTGAAACTAAAAATTTATTATGATATACTTAAATATAAGCCATTTTTGATTGTACATAATTTTCAATATCGTCATAATTCAGTCTTTCACACTGTTTTGCAAAAAACCCATCGTGTTGCAAATACATGTTTTTTGTAGAATTTGTCATTGAAGAACACCCAGAACCACTTCTTTAAATGTTTTGGTTTCAAATGGCCTTTCTTTTAGTCTAATAAAAATACGAGTACTATAAAAAGAAGAATTAAAAACCAATTGTTCAGAGAACAATTGAAGGTCTTTCCACAGCAATTTTCAAATTTATTGAAAAGAAGCTAGTTTCTGTTTACTCAAAGTAAAAATTGGCATCTAATCATCAGTTTCTTCATACTGATGCGATAAATAAGTGGTTTCTATATACTTCTGAGTGAAATAAGGGAGATAATGTGCTATTTCCGGTGAAGTAAATGTCACTTCCGGTCTCATACGATAGCTTCTTTCACACTGATTCCAAAAATATATAGTTTCTATATACTTTTGCCTGTAAACCAGGAGATAATTGGCCACTTCTGGTTTATCGAAAGTCACTTCTAGTCTTTAGTGATAAGTTAATGTATTAAAATTACAAAATATATGGATTCTGAGTACTTTTCCATGAAGAAAGTGCAAAAATGGCTACTTCCGGTTTTCTCAATGTCACTTCCAGTTGTCATTTTTCAAGGTCATATGTCACCCAACCTTTTGTAAAAGGTCATATGGCTTTATAATAAACCAAGTTGAAGTAATAATCAATTAACCTTACAATTAGACATTTCAGGGGCACTAACTCCTATAATATGCCATTAGATTCTAATGTTTCAGACCAAATGTAACATATCTTCATTACAATAAAGCAAGCATTTTGCACTTGTTCTTTTTATATATATCTTTAAAAGTGTTTGAGAAAATGCCAAAAAAAGGAAAAGTCAAAATTGAGAACTTGACCTTGACCTCATTTTCTAAGTTAGGACCTTGGGACCTCAAATAAAAAGATTCCAGGGTTATACAGTTAACGGTTCATGAGTTAAAAAAAACACACCGACAAATTTATTTCGTAAAGGTAGATAACTCCTAAAAAATTTCATCGAATTGCTTAGATCCAATTAGGCAAAAATTTCTGAGGATGTAACGAACAATTTAGAAAATGAATTTTGTCGATATCTTTATTTGTTACGAAGGAGATGCAATCACATGATAAACAGTGAATAGGGAGATAACTCTTACAATGAAAATTGTTTGGCTTAGCAGGGTGAAATTTAAAAGCGCGTAAACTATACGATACAATATGAGAAATATCTTAGCGACATATTGCGAAACAAAAATTTATCACAAGAAAAAAATTTGGCAGAAGAAAAAAAAAAAAAAAATAATAATCTGAACAAATACAATAGGTCTTTCCACAGAAAAGTGGAAAGACCTAACTAGTCCACAAAAGAAACGTTAAAAGGCAAAATATTTAAAATAATATCGGTGTTTGAACTTAAAACTTGTTAATGTAACATAAACCTGTTCTAATTAAAATTTGTAATTTCTTCGCACATCTTTGAACAGTATAAATTCTCATCTATGAAATTGGGTGCCGATTTTTGTCACCATTTTCTGCAAAATATATTTGTTCCCTTTGTTTAATAACACGGTATTTTATAACTTACCTACACATATAATTGGTAAGATTTTCTTAATTTTTACACTCTCCGCTTTTGCAAATATTTTTCATTGAACAAATTAATCGTTTTCTATTTATTATATTTTATGGTAAGTTTGAGTTCAGACTTGTGTATTGTGATTTTGTTGACTATTATTTACAAGTGAACTCAAAATTGAGAACATTCTTTTAAAATTGCTATGGCTTTTTTGTCATCTGTAAGCATTTACAACTTTTATATTTTTTAGATAGGGGGATCATAGGTATAATACAATTTCGCAAGACCCTCAGAATACACATATAGATGTTAGAATTTAGTCCTTTTCAAAATGGCCTTCCTACACTAACGATAAATACAAGAGAAATTGGCCGCACACTACATCTCTTGAACAATTGTCTTATATAATTTCTCAAATAAGTATAACTTACCATTATAAGAAATGCGTAATATTTATCTTAAATTAACTTGGACATTTTCCACCACTGACAACATGCATAGATAACTGTTACGGTGAAAGTATATACTTGATTAGGATTAGTCCTATAAATGGATTAAATTAAATTCTTTTTACAAATATGAAATTGCTTTTATCCTTTATATTTAAATGAATTAATTGGTGAAATTGAACGACAAAGATCATTTCGTTAAATAGATGTCAATATGTACAGTTGTGGGAATTTGATATATGTTTACCAGAATATTTTATTTATATAAAGTCCTGCCTATTTGATCATGGACCCATTTATTGTTTATTGTTCAGAAAATTTAACGAGATAGTTTGATTTTCATCTTCGTCCGTTGGTCATTTGCATATATATATATACTCGTCTTCTTGGATAATTAAAACTAAGCTTCTGCTAAATGATCAACTACTTCAGCTTTCTTTGTTGATTTCATTTCAAAGACTCAAGACCAACCAAGATGTCCGCCTGCTCAAGACAATTCCAGCATCTATATATCTCGGATAATTAACTTCTAGAAACTACTTCATGGGATTTTTTGTTTAATATCTCCACTCGTCATACCAAAATACGATGGCAAAAATTGTTTTCCGTCGTATAAAAAGTACATTAATACTCCAATTTACATGTTCTCTACCATTTCTGTTTGTGGAAGACCCTCCTAATGTTTACCTGTCTTTACATTTGTACTTTCTTCATGGTTTTTTTATATAGACATTTATTATGGTACAACATGTCATGTGAAATTGTGACTTTACCTAATATTGTCTATATTCCATTTGAGCATTTTCATTTAAAATGCTAGCAGTTTTTGATTTGTTCTAAATATAATCAACCACTCGCCAGGAAATTTGTTTATAGATACAAGAAGATGTGGTATGAGTGCCAATCTGAACTCTCCATCCAAGTCACAATTTGTAAAAGTAAACCATTATAGGTCAAAGTACGCTGTAATGCTTTCCATAGGCAGAAAGATCAAAAGTCAATCATTTCTGACATGATCACAGTGACGATGAAGAATCACAAACCAGTTTTCTTAATCTTTATTTTTTTCCACTAATTATACATGATACTTCCATCTGTACAGATACAACCTTTGTCATCTTTACAGGTCAAAGGTGGATAAAGTGGAAGCCATATAAAGAAACATACTTATCTTTACAAAAAATTCTCTTTTCCAGATCTTTTCATATTATTTTAAATAAGATACAACAGATATAATTTTAAAAATCACAATTACATACTCGCCAATCAACAATAATGCTGTCAAAATCTTAACATACAATATTTACACAACTTGCAAGAGTGAAAATTTGCACTTCCTTTCAAACATAAAAATTATACAAATATATCACTTTATATATTTGTTACAGCTTCAAAATATGGAGTTAATTTTTTGCATTGAAACCCTTCACCAAAACTATAAGTGTAGTTCAAAAAATCTACAATCATACAAGAAAAACTTTTAGCAATAAATAATTGGAACCAATTTTCATAGATTTTGTGGACATCAAAACTGGACATGTATTTCCGTAGTATATTAAGATTTAGATCCAACTTTGAAATTCAATTTCTTAACATTTTTTTTTATGCATTGTTTAGATGGGTGGATCCAATGGTGAAAGTTCACATTCAAGAACCCACAAATCATTAATTTTTCTACAAACCATGAAAAATGGTATCCATAATTTCAACTGCTTCCAAAGTTTTTGACTTTTTGAATGCAACATCATTCCTACTTCTTATAATATTAGTATGTACCTCCTAAACCCAAATGTGCTTAATAAAAAGATTATTCAACTAAATAATTATTTGTAGGTTAAATACTAGTATTATCAAAAGGAAGTCAACTTTCACATCAATGCTCCAGATCAAAAATACACATTTATGAACACATGACAATGTTAACTATCCTACATATTGATGCAAATTTTAACAGACTTTATATTTCAAAACTAGTAAATATTGTACTCTGATAAAAACAATCAAAATTTGTTACCTGGGATAAACCATATATACAGGTATGTGATATATAAAGGAAAAGAAATTTCAAATCATAGTAATATTGTACAAATTTTGGTAAAGAATCTACAAAAAATTCTCCTAGTCTCCATCTTTTACACCTAACCTTACTTTGTACAGTAAAATCTAATTTGTGATTAATTTTTATACATCATAAAATAATCAACAGGGACTGCACTAATATTTTGTTACACTAATAGATTAAATTCTTAATAACAATTGGATTCGAAAATTATCAAATTTTCATCCATAAATTTATGTAGACATATATGTCTCTGATTTATGTGATTATTCATATAAGCTTGTTCTGCTTCAGCAAACCTTCAAGAAGAACAAATTTAAAGTAATGCAAAAGTAAAACACACAGGAATTGACATATATTTAAGCAAATTTCCCTACATAGAATGGGATTTACTGGAGAGTGGGCCACATAAATATATTTTTGTATAAGAGTGGTAATACCTTTCACAGTTAACACCCTATATTTACTATCCTTTGGGTCATACAGACATCAAATTCTTGTCATGGTTCATTAAACCAGGTTTTTTTTTCTACCATTATTTTTACCTTTAAAAATTCATCTTATCTGCTACTTTAGAGAAACTTATCATAACCACTATCCAATAGAAAATATTTTCTCAGAAGAACCACCCGTTTAACACCCTATTGCCATATAAAACTTTACAAGATTAGAATGAACACCATTTTGATTTATGATGGAATCATATCATACTGGAAAATTCCATCTACAATCTGATGGAATGTCAGGAATGTTCAATCAAAATCAAAATTATGCTAAAGGGTTAACTTTTTGATATACTCATAAAATTGAGAAAAATACTTGCTAAGATGCAAAGCAATATTCCGTTGCTAAATATAACAAACATGTATAATTTTTCAGTTCAAAATCAACTAACGTATTTATTGTCTTTACTGCAATGTTGATGAATTTGATCATTCAAATAGTTTCTCCTGAAATAATGAGAGGCAAGAAAACAAATCTGTCACAATTAGGACCAATAATAGTTCAGATATATCAACAATTTAAATAAAATTATAAAAGAGCAAAATAAAATATATTTATGAATTTAGGAACATTGCTAGAAAAAGTGTGTCTAGTGTTCAATCAACAATAGCAGTAAGTGAAAGGGGAAACATCATGTAAAATAGTATTCAAATACATGTATTATAAAACAATGAATAAAACTCCTGTAAATACATGTATCATTACTTTATTTCATAAAATATACAAACAAAAGTTCCATATGACTTAGGAAGTACAATTTGAAAGGCATATAAATACAATATATATTTAAACTGTTAGAAAATATCAAATTGATTTGTACTGGCTTCAGAAATGAAGAAATGCAATGTTTGCTTCTGAACATTGTACATGGTGTGTGTATTTACATTGTTTTAACTGTTTTTCCAGAGAACTATACTTTGTAAAGTGTAGGTATCAAGATTTGTGTTAAACGAAACTATGCAATCTAGGATTTGCCTCAAGATTTTCTGGACTTCACAATGAATAAAAAAATTATAGTACACGTATAATAAAAAATATGAAATTTAATACTCATAATTTTGAGTTTTTGCATATGAAATGAAACTTAGAAAAGCTTTCCTAAATTTCTTCACCGGAATGACCAAAATCTAAACTAAATTATTATTCATGATGTTTATCTATTCATAAATTGTTCTATACAAATGTTTTAACAATGAATAATCTTTTTTAAATAATTTTAATATTTTTTCATATACAGATTTTATTTTCTCAGAAACATATAAAAAAAATAAAAATGTGCTATGTATCTAAACAATGTATATAAATACTATATAAAATCGCTGATATTAAAGAACTCAACTTTTTACTCATAAAGGGGAAAATTGCCTCCAGTGAAAAACTCAGCTTATGATATATGGTATTTGAAAACTTTTACATACATTCATAATGATTGCATATTGCACTGTGATACACTCTTAATATTAACAATCATTTTCATTATTTAATTCACACTGACTGAAATTTGTAAAATTTGACATTTTCACAACCAATTACTGTATGAAATGTGTGGTTTTAGAAAATCACAACTTTTTTAGAATGATTTGGTAATTTGCTTAAGTTAGTAACTACAAGCCTGTATCCAATTACTGGCCATGCTGATTCCTCACCACCCTGACTTGGGTTTCAGCTGTTTAACATACAATATTGTTCTGTCTGTTTTTGAATATATATGTTTGTCTGTTTATATGAGAAAAGTTTGCCAGTCATTCAGATAACAAAACAATGAAGAGAAATGTCAACATAGTGCACAGTCAAATGTAACATCTTAAAAAAATACAGTTTACAACAAAATACATATATACATTCATTAAATTCTACATCTTTAAAGTTTTCCATTAGATATATATCAACTATTACTAATAATTTGTCACAATTTTCTTTTTTTATAAGCTTCTTCAGATTTTTCTTCAACAGAAATAAAATGTTCCTTTAAAAGACAATCATCATTACAATTTTTTTCAATAGCTCTTGAAAGTTTCAATTATCTAAAACACACGTGTGTTAAAAAATAAAGTTCTATTCACAGGTAAATAAATAAAGATAACTAAAACTGAAAATGACTTTACAACTGCTAGCTTCTGGGAGCCGCCTTCATACATTAAAATTGTAATAATCAGCTAAAAGTTTTTGTAACTAGCATCTATTATTCAAGAAAATTTGTATAATATATAGTGATTGACTGATAGGTAGCAAATAACTGGAAACTAATAGGGAGAAAAAGAAAATAACCGAACCCAATGTTTTAAAGATTAATATTTATTCACTGTTGATTTAACAATTTTAGAACTGAAAAACATCAAGCTACTGGTAAAATAAGTTAAACAACTTGAAGCTGGCTGCAATATTTGCTGCTGTATATTTTAGACATTTATCGGAAAACAAAAGCATCTGAATAATTGAGATAATTCTTCATTTATTTCTTATGCATACATTTGTAAGTAAGAGGGGGTAAAAATTAAGATGCTACAAAAATATTCTACTTCAATATTATCTCCCCTTATATACAAAATCAGAGATAATCACTATGATTTTCAATAAGTCTTCCGATAAAAAATACTTTTGTTCCATAATCTTGTCCTTATCCATTAGTTTGAGATCATTAAGTTACTACATCTGCAATATCTCTTTATTACAAAATAGAATCTGAAAGGAAAAGAAAAAATTATCAATGCAAAAACAAGGGGTAAAAGAAATCTTTAATACATTGTACATATATTCCAGCTGAACTTTTACATGTCTGTTATGAAGGAAGTAATGAACAGTTATTATTTTGGTTTTATCACTGTTTTCAAAGTCCTGAAGTGTGTCAAAACAACTTTTCAAATAGGTAGTATACAGCATTTTTGCGCCTGTCCCAAGTCAGGAGCCTCTGTGCCTTTGTTAGTCTTGTGTGTTTTTTTAATTTTAGTTCTATTATATGTTTCGAAGTTTAGTGCGATGTCCATTTGCACTGAACTAGTACACATTTTTGTTTAGGAGCCAGCTGAAGCCGGCCTCCAGGTGCGGGATTTTCTCGCTGTCTTGAAGACCCATTGGTGGCCTTAGGCTGTTTTCTGCTCTTTGGTCGGGTTGTTGTCTCTTTGACACATTCCCCATTTCCATTCTCATTTTATCTACATTTCGGAATCAATATACATCTGAATAATTATTTGTTCTGGCTTTCTATCTTCAGAACAGTTGTATCCAATCACTCCCCTATATTAGTAAGGTCAAGTTTTACTGATACTGCAAGTCCATTCAGATTTCCACATAACTTTTGAGTAAAGAGTACTTTTTATTTCATGTATTCTATAAACTTACCCCAAACTGGCAAGACCAATTCCTACAACAAATGAGCAGGCATTCGATATAATAATGTACTTCAAGCTGTAAGCATCTTCTTTTCGTATCATTTGTGAACTTCTAAATCCAGATTTTCTTGGGTGTTTGAAACGTGCTCCCAAATCACTACAAAAAAATAGAGGAGCAAATAACAAGGATAGGTTCAATTCTGAATAAAAATCATACTTTACAAGAGATCATATATTCAGTGAAGACACAACAAATTTAAACAGTGAAGACACGGCAAAAACTGTATGTAAGTACAGTGTTTATGATATTTCAAGTCTAAAGGCTGTTATTCAGTCAAAAGTATGTCAAATGGAATGAACATAATCATAATTCCCCTGTACATGTATATATAAAGCTAGTTCTATAACCTACATGATATAATTCCCCTGTACATGTATACATAAAGTTAGTTCTATAACCTACATATCAAAAATCAACTCATGATGTGAGGCACCAAAATCAAAGAATTCTTCAAAGGAACTGAATAAAGAACATGTAAAACGTTATGTTCTAGCAACTTGAAATTGAGCACTGAAAAGATCATTTGAACACTATTTATGTTTAAAAAAATAATAATTTTAAGACCTGCTTCTCATTTTGTCTGAAACCGCTTTGAATTTGGATTGTGATTAAATATTTATATAGCATAGGTTTCTGACACAGAATGAATGTGGTCTAAGAACTTAAAAAAAATTAATTTACCTATTCAAACCATATCATTATTATTTGCTTTTATATATAAATCAGAAATAACCAATTTAAAATGGAAAATTTTAAAGAAAAAAATGGAAAAAAAAATCCCTCCCCCAAATTTTTTGAACCCCCTTATGATTCATCACCCCCAAACTCAATCCCAACCTTCCCGTTGTGGTATGGTACCTTGCAGTACAAGTTCAGAGAGATCCATACACTTGAACACAAGTTATTGTCTGGAAACTAGAAAAATGCTTGTTTTTTGGCCCCTTTTTGGCCCCAAATTCCTAAACGTTTAAGGCAATTACCCCCAAACTCAAACCCAGCTTTCCCTTTGTGATATGGAACCTTGTAGTACAATTTCAAAAAGATCCATACACTTACACACAAGTTATTGTCCTGAAACTAGAAAAATGCTTGTTTTTTGCCCCTTTTTGGCCTCTAATTCCTCAAATTTTGAGGCAATTACCCCAAAATCAATCCCAGCCTTCCCTTGTGGTATGGTACCTTGCAGTACAATTTCAGAGAGATCCATACACTTGAACACAAGTTATTGTCTGGAAACTAGAAGAATGCTTATTTTTGGCCCCTTATTCCTAAAAGTTTTGGGCAATTACCCCCAAAATCAATCCCAGCATTCCCTTTGTGATATGGAAACTTGTGGTATAATGTCAGAGAGATCCACACACTAACACACAAGTTATGTCTGGAAGTTACAAAAATGCTTATTTTTGGCCCCTTTTTGGCCCCTAATTCCTGAACTGTTGGTACCATAAACCCCAAAATCAATCCCAACCTTTCTTTTGTGGTATTGAACCTTATGGTAAAATTTCATAGAGATCCATTCACTTAAACTAAAGTTAGAGTGTGAAAACCAATGTGTCTTTGGACGACGACGACGCCAACGTTATACCAATATACGATGCGGTCGTATGAAAAAAAGCATAGCTGTCTAATTTTATTTTCTGATATAAAAATTACTGGTATCAGAAAAAAGAAATGTGATGTACATTTGTACATATAGATGAGACATGAAAGTAAAAAAAAGAAATTTAAATGTTACAAGTGCAATCTAATTTCTACTTACCTTGGAGGTAGGGCTTCAGGTCTACTGGACCAGTCCCATATCCAATCTGTACCTAGGTCTCTATTTTCCTACAAGAAAAATCACCTCTTCATCAAAACAAGAAATAAGCTGTCTAGTTGACAGAAAACCAGTTTTTCTGTACGGCACTTTGAGGCTTGTTTGACCTTTCATATTCTGTGCATATTCAGATATATATCTATCAAGGACCACAACTCCTTGAAGACTAAATTGAAAATTGTCAATATTAAACTTGACATTTTGTCATCAGTAACAACATATTAACATTTTAAAAGCATTACCCCCTGTAATCATGTTATTGTACGGAAATGACATAAAGTGCAATTTTCCAATCTATAATTGACTATCATCAATACCAAACTTGACCTCCATTTTATCATTAGTAACGCCATATTTAATTTTGAAACGCATTGGCTGAATAGTTCATAAGTTATTGCACAGGATCTGTAATCAGCTGCCTTACTTTACCATTTTAATAACCTGATTTTTTCCCTCGGAAAACCTGCTTAATAAAACTAGAAGTACTGCAAAACTAACAAAATTATACCACCTGAAATCTTTGATATAAAGCTTCCTGTTAAAGATATAGATATCAAGATCCATGAAAGGGCAGTGTTCATTGTTAGTATTAGCTTTATTTAAAGTCAGTTCAGCAGGATAAATCTCTTTAGTGTACATACTGAAGTCATCATTATTGAGAGCCAATATATCATTCAAATATCTAAAAGTGTTATTAAATTTTTGTATCAGATGTTGTTTCAATGGGTCTATGCTGATTTTAGTCATATAAATTGTAACTCGTAACAATACAGAAACAGGTCCGCAATAAGTGGTGCACAGTTAGTTCCCATTGGAATTCATGAGCAATGGTTTAATGAATTTGATTAATAAGAGTATCATATACATTTTGGTTTAAAGTTCAAGAAAAGGTTATAAGAGTATCATATACATTTTGGTTTAAAGTTCAAGAAAAGGTTAAAAAGCAAATAAAGTGTGTATTACAAAATGCATTTACATGTACCTGTGTAGATTCACCATTTGATAATTCATTTGTAGGACTGTGCAGACCTTTAGGACTGAAAAAGAAAAAAAAACAGTTAAAGTAGTCAATGACTTTACACACTTTATTAAGACCCTGACAATTTATGTAGCGCTAAAGACTGGACATGTATGTTGCCCACTAGATATCTTTTTGTTTGTGTTATTGGGGTATTTTCTCATTTTACCCCATTTATAAATGACTGATGGAATAGTTACGGCATTATCAATGAGATAACCATGAGCAAACATCATAGTTATGTGTAGCAAACAGTATTTGTGTTATCAGAGTTGGAAACCTACTCCTCCTCAGCAGTATACAAAGATTTCTTTTTTTTTTTTCATTATTCATGGTATTTATCTGTTGATTTTTTAGTACCTAAAGCATTCATCAATACATGTACAATGTAATCTATATAATTGTTTAGTTTAACATGTTAAAATTTTAAAGAAAAAAATAACCAGCATTATCATACTTTGATATATTTAATTATTTTAATTTATGTCAAAATTACATATAATTACTGTCTATCACTGTCTGTGAAAAACATTTACACTTTGTTTGATAACTACAAATCTGTGTTACTAGCAATTAGATATGGTTATTTCACATAACAATGTTTTATCTGATGTAACACATGTGTAACATGTATATTAATTTCTATGACGTCCTTCTCAGTATTCAAAATGTATTAGCACAATACATGGACACAGTCATCATGGTCATGCTCATCCAGGAATGACCATATTATGACCTTTATATGTATATTTTGTTTATCATTTGTAATTGGAGAACTGACACATTGACATTTATACCACATCTCCTTTTATTCCTAACCAACATCTCGATTATTGATAATTCATGTGATAAAGAATACAAACATAATAATAATGAATACATGATATTTGTTTGAAATACTTGTACATTGTGTTGTTTTTAGTTGTTTGCTTTTTTGTATACTACAAAAACAAATACATAAAATAGAACATATAATTTTCTTAGTTACCTGCCCCTGGCTGATGATTCTTTACTGTTAGGTCTTGATGATGATCTAGATTCTCTTTGGGCTTCAATCAGCAACTTTTCTAAGTTACCGTTGTATATAGACTGTGCTTCAACAGGTGGTGTAACTCCACCACTAAGTTCTATCCATGAGTCTGGAAGACAAAATTTGGTAATTTTTGTTGGTACTTTTTTGGTGTATTTTGTTCACTATTTCAAAATCTATGTAAATGTACAAAGGAATACAGCTTCAATGCACTCTTTCTTATTATTCACCTCTAGGCTAAATTTGCATACACAAGTTCAACTAAATTATAATTATGATTTCCTTTAATTATGGCTCTTTTACAGTGTAACTTGGTTCTTTCAAGTTAAATTACCATTTTAATTAATAGAGTGGATGTTTAAAAAGTTTCTAAAACTTCATCAATTCCTGATTCATGAAATTGGAAATGTTTGATGAACAAAATCAAATAAACCCTTTCATCATGTTCATAGTGAGATGATATTTAACAGTACAAATGTACAAATATTAATGTAGCAATAAATTTTCTAAACATCTACAGCTTCTGCTTGCAACCCAGTAATCCCTTTCACCCTTATGTGGGCAGCCAAATTAGAAAATTGCTCTGGACACAGAATCCCTGAAAATTAAGGTATTACAATGTAGCATGACAGCAAAATTTTCTATTGATTTTCTGTAAAAAGAAAAGCAAAATTGGACCCAAATTATTTCGCATGGATTTTTTTCAAGGGTGTACATTGCATCTTGACAGTTAGCAAGGAAAGAAAAAATACTGTTTACATAAATTTTTGTTCAAAGTAGTAAAAACATTCCTTATATTCCTTTCTTTTCCCAGTTTTGACGACTCGATCTTCTGGTCAGAGGTTTTGTCTGACCTCTCATAGATTTCCCAACAATTAATATTGTATTATTTATGTTTTTTTTTCAATAAACAAACACACATTTACGCATTTACAAAAAATGTATGTTGCATGAATACATTGAAATGGACTTTGAACAGTTTGTCTGATGGTGGTCACCTATCTTCATATGCAACTGTCAGGTTTTATCTACTTCACTACAACAAAAGAAAGCTTCATGTGAAGAAAATTAAGTTAAGAAAAAAGCATTTTAACAGAAAATGAAACAAAAGTAGGTCAAGATTAATAATTTTTAACTGACGACCTGTTGAATCGACAGTGATCGATGTCATCAATCTATAAGGTTGCTTTTTCGACATTTCTGCGCACCTGCTTCCTCATTAAAATTGTGTCCTCTTTCATATAAACACTTTATTTGACTGTATTTACAATTTCACAATGAAGCAATACTTCCCGTAATTACCTTCAATTTTTTGTGTCGATGACATGATACTTCTTTGTTGATGTTTTGGTGTGCTTTTCGTTTATTTACGTGTACGTCACCCGTCACGTGGTATTAATTAATAAAAGCTCCGAAAGGGAATCGACACGCTCCACCATCATCAACAATTCGTAACAATTACATTGTTAAAAGCTAAGGGAACTAATCCAACCATAGAAAATATATTAACTCGAAAGGCTAGGATCATTCCATATTTATACTTTCACTTTCGTCCATAATGTCTGTGCACTCAATAAATCAATATAAGTTTACTATCTGTTATTAAATGGTGATTTAGAGTTGAAGACATGACCTTATGCATTTATTTTGTAAATTTATCTTATTTGATCTTCAAAATCATATTCTGATAACCCTGTCATAACAAAAAATGGAATCACCCAAATATGGATTTACAACACATGTGTCAAACTTGATACCTGGAAACCTGACATAATATCCTTTCATTTAGATACGATGTGATGTTTTAGAGTAAATTAAAAAGAAAGAAACCATTCGAGATGGGTAAAACATCAGCATTTGTCAAATTTTCCCTTTTTGGTTTAGCTATGGTCTCCTTGTCACTCTGGAAGAATAATAAAGATGAGATAGAATGGAATACTAGCAGTAAGTACAAGTATTGTCTAGGAAATTACCATTAAGGTATATGTTTTGTTCAATATCATATTCTGTTTTAATTCTAAAAGCAGGTATTATGAAAAAAATAATGAGTTTAAACTAATCAAAGCAAATACAGTCGAGTTTTTTTTTTTAATATTCTACAGTTCTAGTTCCTCACACCTTCAAATCTGTGCATTGCATGTACATTTGTACATTCATTTTAAAGTGCAGAAATTAAAAGGGAGTCCAATACTTGAGTATGAATTACAATCCTACAGGTTTTGAACATTCATGGGATGGGATATTAAATCTCAATCCATATCTTTACAACATATATGCATTAAAAATTAATATTAGATAAACTTAATTATTTCATGTATTTAGATTGAGGCGACAGCCAATATTTGATAACATAAATGTAGTTATATGAATTATACTTTCCAGAAATATTATTTTTTAAAAGATTTGAGCAGACAAAATTTTTTTATTTTCTTGTCTAGAATGTTAGAGATCTATTCCAAATACAAAATAAAAATGTCTAAAAATTAAGAGTTGAAAAAAAAAGTTAATTGTAAAATATATACATGTATATATTAATTCTTCTTTTGTCATACATGAGTTAAGAACTTACAATGGAAGATTAGTATGTCTACTTAAAATTATTAATTTGCCTTTTGGTAACCACATTATAATATAATGAATGTAAAAATTTCAAATCTACAGAACTACAAAATGTACATGTATGTATAAGATTTTTAATATTTCTTTACTCACTTTATTTATTTTTTTCAAATAAAAAAGTTGTTCTACCAGCAATCCCTTTTAGTCCAGTGTTATAATTTGTTAAAATTTAACACAATTCGATACTCTGGATATTCTGTTACAAATAGATGCATGCTTCTAAGTTAAGAAAATTACTGTTCAAACAGCTAGTTGCATGTACATCATCTAAAGTTACATGTATGTAAAGGAATAAGATGGTGTTCTTATTGAGCACTGCCTTTCAAGGCCTTGAAATAATTTCCAGCTCCTCTCTTGATTTCATTAGCATAAACCTTAAATTTTGAGGTTAAATGTTACAAGTTCTTGAATCTTGAAAAAAAAAATAATTTAGTTTTATTTTTTGGTCTTATGAAGGTACATATTTATTTGTACATTTGTATTTAAGCATGTTAAGTGAACCTTATTCCAAAAGGTTTAAGATTTATAAATATTTATCAAAGGTTGAAATAATTATTTTTAATTTAAGTTCCATCCTTGATTTGTGTTTAACCCTTTAATATTAGTCCTAGAATCAAAGTAAATTAAGTTAAATTTGTTAATAAATAGAATGTGTGAGTTACATATGTCATTGAGACAGCAGAGCAACAACAAAATAGAACAAAACAAGACATTGCAAGGTCAATATCTGGTTTACAACAAGTTACATTTTTATTTAAGTGTATTATAAATTAAGCTTGAAATTTTCCCCAGTCTAGCATGTCAAGACAAGATTTGAATGAATTTAACATAGTTTCAAAGAAGTTGGATTCAACATGATCAGCGCCAAATTCCTTATTGAATATAAAAATACACAGATATTGATAAAGACTACCACTGATAAAGTTCCAGACTTTGGTCTTGAGCACTTTTTTTTTTAGAAACCCCCCCCCCAATTTTTATCTTGACCAGTGAATGAAATTGTACAGTAAACAGGAGTCACAGGTGAAAATACAATTAGACAGAAGAGTGTGCAATTTAAACAAGTAAAAATAACAGTTTAACTTGAATGATATTGTAGATTTAAACAGAGAACTTTGTACCATGCATATGCATGCCATATATAGTGTTCTCCCCAGCCCGATATAACGCTGCAGTCTCGCAGCTCCTTCAAAATATTTTCGTTGATCCTGCAGCGCCTTAATTGGCCACTGTCCCTTAATACTTGATCCCGCAGCGTGTTAATTTTCATATTTATATATAACTTAAATGATATTCATTTAGATATTGTAGATTTAAACAGAGAACTTTGTACCATGCATATACATGACATATTATATAACAAAACTAAATATGATTTTTCTCTTGTCTATTTTTCACACTTCAGTCTCTACATTTGTTTGTAATGGTTGGAGATAATCTTATAGTTTTGTCTTTAGAGATTGATTTTTTGCTGCTTTTGACTGATTTGTGTCAGATCAATCTATGATTTGAGTGAAATTAAGTGAGTGGTACTTTATAAGGTGATTGAAAGTTGAAAGCAAGGGGCCAGATCCGTATACACCTAAGGTCGTTGAAAGTTGATAGAACATGTACATGTAGAAAGTTGATAGCAAGGGGCCATGTCCAGATCAGTATACACCTCAGGTTGTTGAAAGTTGATAGAACATGTACATGTAGAAAGGGGCCATGTCCAGATCAGTATACACCTAAGGTCGTTGAAAGTTTATAGAACATGTACATGTAAAAAGGGGCCATGTCCAGATCAGTAACAAGTCTTCAAGTCAATAAAGCTAGAAGGAAGCAACTGCTCTTTGTCTGCAAATTACACATTAAATTGTATTTGACTTTGATGTACAATATCATTTCATTTGTAATGCTGAAAACTTATGTAACACTGAAGTAAGATCTTTGTATATTGTTTTTTTATCGGTACAAACATGATTTTGTAATATAAATAAATTAGATTAAAAGCATAACCAGAATTTATTGCTATGTAGATAAGAAAATAAATTTACAGTCCTACATCATGTCTATACCTATTTATTTTTGGATTGCATATTAAGAACATGTTTTTCTTTGACTGATTATGACATCTCTGATTTACACTAAATCCATCAGATATGTACCAATTGATATATTAGTCTTGGATGCTTATTTTTTTTGTTTTTTGGTACTTGTTATAGGCTTTGTTCTGTTACATCACTGTCCCCGGTTTGACGGAGGTTGAGCAAACACAAACATGTTTAACCCTGCCACATTTTGTATGCGGATGTCCCAAGTCAGGAGCTTGTAATTCAGTGCTTTTCATTGGTTACTGTATATGTATCATATTTGTTTTTCTGTTATTGTTTTGTACAGAAAACTCCTTTGAATTGTTTTACATTTGCTACATTGGAACCTTTTATAGCTTGCTTTGGGGTACAGAATTTGCTCATTCTTAAAGGCCATATGGTGACCTTTAATTGCTAACTTCTATGACCATGGTCTCTGATGTAAGATTTGTCTCATTTGCAATCATACCACATCTTCTTATTTTTATGTTCTCAATTGCTGTAGTCATGATTAATGAGGTTTAGCCCTCCACATGTCTAGTGCTTTAACTCAATTTGTTCTTTTGAGGTCTATGTCAGCTACAGACTTTATATTTATGCATTGAAATATATTTGAATTTTCCAAGACAGCTATTCCATTGAGGGTTTAACCTGTTACCTGCATACTTCACAAACTAATAACTTCATTAATATTCATCTAATATATTTTGTGTAATTAGTGTTACCTGTGTCTATAAGACTTATTTTAATACATTCTCCTTTTATGTTTGCATTTTTGTAGTCTTATTATTGACAGATGTACATTGTTTTTACTTTATATACTTGGTTTTATGTCATTTTCTGTCAGTTTTTTGCATATTTTAGAAGTGCATTTTGGAGTCCTACAATATGTAAATAGGAAAATAAATGTTGTAATATTACTTTTGATTAATATGACTTTTGGTCTGTCCTTTAAGTCTGATATGCATGTACATGTAGACTTCAATGAAATAGGAAGTATTTTTAAGTCTGGACATTTTAGTCTTATCATGTTTGTGGTTGGTGTTTAATGTCAACGTATAATTGTCATAATTTTACAATAAACTAATGTAAATTTTCCTTTTTCGTAATAATAGAGGTATTTTATTTTATACTACAAAAATTATAAGTTTGAATATGCTGATGTTATAATGATTTTAACAAGGGTATTTTTAGCATGAGGTAACTCTGTTGCCATCATTTTTTACCCAGATTCTGCAAGAAGTATATTAAGTTTTTTAACGAAATTTGATTAACTGTGATGCTGCATTGTATAATTTAGGGCAAGAATATGCTTTTTGAACAGTTCCTCTATGCCAATATATATATATTATTTAAAACCTGATTTTGGAGAATATTGAGGGAAGAAAATAATCAAAGCAGGGTTAAATGAAAGAACTCGCTTGCCTACCTGTGACAAACTTGTTTTTAAACAGGACCAGCGAAATCTTGAGCTAGATTGCATGATGGGATTTTTCTAATTCCATAAATGTAAGTTAATTGAATTGGCAAGCCCTTTCAGTTTGGAAAAGGCATGAAATATTTGCCACTTGACATTAAACAAGCAACAATAGATCAATCCTTCATTAGTATAATTTGCATGGATTTGATGAGAAGTTACATGTTAGTCAGAGAGAATCTTTGCAAAGATTTATGTTAATGCAATATTTGGTAGATTCATTGGTGTGAGCTTGAAGCAGTGTCCAGCGGCAAATATTTCTTGCATATACAGGACAATTACATGTTAATTATGTATAACAACTTTTCCAAGCTTTGTACTTGACTGAAACGGTGATTAAGGTTCTTTATCTTCTGGCTCCCAAGGTTAACATTTAGCCTGTGCACATAGTTCCATCAAATGCAGTAGTTGTAGCAGGTTTATTTTATTATATAAGTTTATTGAATTTAACATCGAATTATAATTTCTTTCAATTTGGAATAATGAATTATTGCATAATGTTGTAAGATACAATATTAATGGACATGCATTTAAGGCTGAATGCCTTCTAAGACGTCACAGCTGCAATCTGTAAGCTGATTTCTTTAAATGGCACATGTATATTTGAGCCGTGTACTGTATTTGTCTTAATTGTACATTGTATTTATTTACTTGAAGGCATAGAACATTAATAGAACCATTTCTGCTCACTTTACCAGAAGATTTTACATGGATGTTGTCCTTTTTCAGTCATTTCAATTGTTTTTCTTTTATACTTAGCATTTTGATCTGTTCAA